AATAAAAATAACCTTACAGAAAGCATGGCAGATTTAAGATAATTCAGCAGTCAAGCCCATTGGGGTTTCATTCCATTAGAGCTCTGTTCCACATTTAATACTCACCAGTGTGACACCTTTGATCATGTTTTGCACATGACTGCAAATTGTACGAACTGTGGCCAACTCCTTTCTGTTACCCCACCATTTGTCAACGCGCAGCTGTGAAATTAAAACATTGATAGACATCAAATATAAATCCAGCGTGAATATACAGCAAGTTTTCCCTTCAAATATTACAAGAATTAAAAGGGTCACTAGATCACTGAATTTCTAATTAATGGGCAGAGAGCAAATCAAGTTATTCATTTACTAAGTTGTAAAAAAGGCAATTTTATGTAATGAATTCACACAGTATGTATGTTCTGGGCTAAAAAGATCCACTGCCAAGTAAGGCTTGGTTCACCCAAGACGTTACCTTCTCCACACAAGCAGCATCCTGACATTTCTCAGGATAACTTAACATGTGAATTATAAGGATTTCTCAGGATAACTTAACATGTTAACTAGAACATGTGAAGTATAAGAGTACAGGCAATGGTTTGCCATCAGCAGTTGTACTGATAATTCTCACGCTGCTGCAATCACCGGAATTATTAAAAAAGAGCAAGAGTCCAGGAGCACCTTAAAGACTAACAAAATTTGTGGCAGGGTATGAGCTTTCACGAGTCAATGTGAGTCCATCTGTTGACAATAGCAAGTGAATTACAACAACAGGCGTGATTGGTTTAGGTGTGATATGCAGAGGGGTAGTAAATGTGGAGAAGTCAGCATTGGCAATGAGACAGGAAACCTAGGTCTCAATTCAGTCCAAGAAGATGGATTGTTGTGAACTTATCAGTTGCAATTCGGCAGTTTCCCTTTCCAATCTCCCTTTGAAATTCCTTTGCAAGATTACTGCTGCTCTTAGGTCAGCAACTGAATGTCCTGGAAGGTTAAAATGGTCCCCCACTGATTTTTGAATGTTGTGGTTTCTAATGTCAGACTTGGACAAAGGGACCGGAATTACCAGTAGCGTGGCAGCAATATCCATGTACATTCTGCTCAGATGTTACATTATCCCCAGGAATGCACGAACCAGGAGTGATTCTTTGGATAACCACTGAGGTCTCTAGCCCTACTGTGGGCAGGGGGAAGATCATTTAACTCAATTTAGAGTTCATTCAGTAAGATCAACTCATGCAATCTGAGCAGTGGCGGGTTGAGCCTAGAATGCCAGACCCATCATTTGGAGAGAAGAAGTAGCCTTGTTAGTGAAAGGAAAAGATTAAACAATTACAGTGCCAGGGCTCTTTTTGTAGCAGGAACTCCTTTGCATATTAGGCGACACACCCCTAATATAGCCAATCCTCCAAGAGCTTAAAGAGCTCTTCTTACAGGGGCTACTGTAAGCTCTTGGAGGATTGGCTACATTAGGAGTGTGTCACCTAATATGCAAAGGAGTTCCTGCTACAAAAAGAGCCCTGAAACAGAACATTAAAAGACTGTTCTATCTTTTAGGCTGAAGTCAGATCACAGGTCTAGAAAGGCTGAAGACGCCCACATTAACAGTAAAACACTACAAAAGTACTGCATATCATCCTCAGTTCAACTTATGGTACGTTTTAAAGAAGTCAAATGTGAGTCAAAAACCGCAGGCCTACCACAAAGCCCTGGCACCCCAACAGAGAAGGCCCTGTCCTTAGGGTTCACCTACCACACCTCAGACAACCGGGGGTGGGGTGGGGGTGGGGGTGGACATAAGCTAAACCTATGCTGACGGTTTCTGTTTGGCTGGCAAGCTTGTATGAGAGAAGGTGGCCCCTTCAGGTCACCTGGTTCCAGATTTCTGTTGAACAGCTGCAAAGTGGTATGGGAGGGGGATGACCTGTAGCAGACAAAAGGCAGTGGGTCCTCCTCACACCTTCCCCTGCCTGCCCCACTCTCCCAAACCATCTTTCCCCCAAGTCAAGTACCAGGTGCAAGTTTACTGCACTGCAAGAAGCAGCAGCTGGAGGCGGGCTGCAGGTAGATACGTGATGATGTCTTGGACTCTTAAATTCAAGCTGTAAAAAAGGGCATAGTTCCAGCCAGAGAACCATGGGAAACAGTGGTTTAAATGCAAACATGATAAAGAAACCCCCAAATCTGTCACAAAGCCATGGTGTTCCACCTCGGCAAAAAACAACATTCAACGATGTTCTCAACAGGACCGTAGCTACGGTGGGGCAGGATGGGGCCACAATGCTCCCTCTGAGCTGTGGAGTCCTGTGAGCAAAAATTCTACTTTGTGAGCTACTGGCATTAAAGTTGTGAGTGAACGATTTGGCTGCTGCATAAATTAGTTTGCTCTGGAGCCCCATCCTTCCTGAGCTGAGACAAAAATGTGCGAGCTGGAGGCTAAAGAACTGTGAGCTAGCTCACACTAACTCAGCTTAGAACACTAACTAGCTAGCTCACACTAACTCAGCTTAGAACTCTAACAGCTAGCTCACACTAACTCAGAACACACCCCCTAAATTAAGAGCCATGCCCCAAGAGCCGGCCTTGCTGGCCAGAAGGTGGGATCTCCCAGGGCCTCTCACTCCCTCTCTCTCCCTGCCGGACTTCCCAAGGCACCACCAACCAAAATCTCCTGGCTACACCCCTATTTCTCAGCATCCACAGACTGCTCACCTTCTTGTGTCTCTTTCCCAAGAGAGAGAGTTCTACGTTGATGTGGTTGAAGTCCCGTCGCAGGGTTCCTCTGGGGCCCTTCACAATAACTGTCCGGCCCTTCAAACGGACGTTGACTGAGGAGAGGAAGGAAAAAAATTAACCGTAATACAACATGCGGCAATTACATATAATAAGAGTTTTTTAAAAGACACCCACATGAATATACATACCTTTGTCAGGGATGTCAACAGTCTGATTGCTGAGAATAGTCTTCATTTTAAACCTAAGTAGGAAAACTAAATGAGATACAAGACACATTACAATATGGATCAAAGCATACTGTACAATCATTTATTTACTTTAATTATAGGTGATCTTTCTCAACACCAAAAGTATAGCCATAATACTCAAACAGATCTGGATTAAAATTTATATTAGACTGAACCAGACTGCCTCTCGTAAAGTTTCTATTTTGTCATTTACGCTGTTTCCTCTATTACTACTCACTCAAGCCCATAGGAACGACTAGCATTCGAAAGCGTAGCTATGAGCACAGAGGTTTCATTAAGCCACCATAGCCAGCAGCCACTGACGGTTCTATCCTGCATGCATTTTGTCAATTTTTTCCCCGTTTCCCTGAACCTTACCACCAACCATCTACACTAGCTATTCCCAAAGACAGTCTATGACACACACACCCCATATTTAGTTCTCGCAAGGAACCGCGCTAAAACCCATTCTAGACCAGGAATGTGGGTTACCAGAAAAGCTTGAATTGGAATTTCTGATTAAAATTTAAATAAATAACTTAAAATTTTAAACAATGTTGGCGAAACTTAAATAGCTTTAGCAGAAGAAAACCAATACACCATGCACACAGTGTTCCTTCTAAGCTGAGTCAGTGTGAGCCAGCTCAGTTTTTTAGCCTCCAGCTCACAGATTTTTGTCTTAGCTCAGGAAGGAGGGCTCCAGAGCAAACGTATGCAGTAGCCAAATCGCTCGCTCACAACCTTAATGCCAGTAGCTCACAAAGTAGAATTTTTGCTCACAAGACTCCACAGCTTAGAGGGAGCATTTGCACATGAAGTGGGGTTTGCCCCCACTTCGTATCCCACATGCAGCTCATCTAACATGACGGAGCTCCAGCACAACGGCCCTCAGAAGTATAGATAAATAAACCATACTCATGTACATGAAGGAAGAAATTTTCAATAGAAAATTACAGCACTGGAAAATTTCCCACCCACATCAGTATTGCAGACACCAAAAGGAATCACTTCCTCCACTGAGGCATGCTAAAGCATTCTGAAGGCAGATCTCAATTATGAGCAACAAACTTATAACCAACTGTCCTCCCCCCCTCCCCAGCAGCCCTACCACAAAATACATTCTAGATGTATCTGATGGGCAGCCGTGCTGGTCTGAAACAGCAGAACACAGTTTGAGACCAATCCAACACATCTGGAGGTGCAAGCACATCTGGTACCTGAAGAAGTCTGCATGCACACGGAAGCTCACACCTTGAATAACACTCTGTTGGTCTTAAAAGGTGCCCTTGGACGCAAACATTCTCTAGAGTTCTCCGTTAACAACACCCCGCAAATGGAAAATCAGCACCGCATGTGAGAGAGCATTCAAGCCGTAACATCGCTTTCTCCACCAATTACTCATTAAATGCTACAGCCCATGAGACCCCCAGAGCACCCCCGCTTCCTCATTGTGCTGCAATGTGTGAACTCTGGGCCTGAGCGTCACTGGCACCGAGGAGCTCCCCTTCCCCCGGCAGAGTGATACAAGCAGCACCCCAGCATTAGGGCCAAACTGCACTCCGCGTTCGGCAGAGCAGGATACTTGGTCCACGCGAGCACCCATAGAGTTAGGAGCTCGCGCTGTCTTTTCTCCACTAAAGACCGGGTTTTGGGGGGGGGGGGGGCCCTTATA